ATGTATAGACATAAAATCAGTATTTGTTTATATCTATGTTGTTAGGTGCCATGGAGTCGATTTCTACTCATAGCGACTCAATGTGACAGCATAGAACTGCCCCATAAGGTTTTCTAGGCTGTAATCTTTACAGGAGCAGATCACCAGGTCTTTCTCCCACAGAGCCACTGGGTGGGTTTAAACCATCAACCTTTCACTTAGCAGCTGAGCACTTAACCGTTACACCACCAGGGCTCTTATATCTATAAACCAAGCCAAACCCATTGCCATCAAGTCAATTCTAACTCATAGTGACCATATAGGACAGTGTAGAACAGCCCCATAGAGCTTCCAAGGAGCAGCTGGTAGATTTGAGCTGCTGACCTTTTGGTTAGCAGCTGAACGGTTAACCACTGCACCACTAGGGCTAAATTAAAACTTGAATCTAGGATTATCCAGAGATCCATGATTCTTGGTGGGGGGTGGGGGAGGACTGGCCATGAAAAGCAGAAATACAGTATTGAATCCTATATGTTCTCTTGAAAAGAGCCTGCAGCCTGCCTTATCCAACTTGTAAAATGCTCATGCCGCCTGATACTGAGTCACAAGTAGGAACTGTGGCCTCATCATAACTCTTCTTGTCAGAAACTTTTGGGATGCTCCCCCACTCATCTCATGAGATGCAGTCTCTGCCTCATCTGGCCATTTTGTAACCAGATGCCCTGGGAGGGATGGCAAAATGCACTAAGCCATCTTAGATGAATTCCCGTTGAAACCTTGAAGTTCTAGAAAATGGGTTTTTTTGGTGACAACATCTCTGACATGGTTTTTTGCTCATTTTTGTCTTCCAGGCTTTTACCACTTTCTTGTGTTTGTACGGCATGGTGTGGTATGCAGAACACTATGGTCATCGAGAAAAGGTATGGAAGGAAAGACAGAGCTGGTCTCTATTGAAAATAATCACTCCTGCCTGGAGCTTTAGCCCAGAGCATATTCCCCTAAGAATATGGCGTAGCTGGCACTGTGGGAGCTCCTTCAGCCTTGCCATTGTAGAAACTGAACTATTTCAGAATCCACTCCCTGTCAGTTGCTGTCCTTGCTTGTTGTCTGCCCTGTTCAGTGGGTCAGTGTTTTTATCCTCCTTCTGTAAAGAGTTTAAAATGTAATTATATAATTGTTTTTAAAAAATTGTGGGGAAGTACTGGACCCATTTTTGGAAGGCCTGGGTTTTATTTCCAACTCTTCTACTTGGTGCATGCCTCTTCGTCTGTCTCAGCCTGGGGCTGCCCACCCATAACACACAGGTAATGGCTGCCCTGCCGCCTCAGAGTAGTGATGAGGATTAAAGTAGGGAATGGACATGAATGGGCTTAAAGCACTAAAAAATCTCATCAATTGTAATATTTTTTAAAGTAAACGTAACATCTTTAGGCCTTTACTCATACTTTTAGTCTAAGAAACTAGCGGCACTTTCTAGAATATTTATTCTGTGTTCTCTGGAGATAGAAGAACCTTGGTTTTATAGCTGGGAAACGTAAGCACGGGGAGGTTCTGTCACCTTGCTGGTGCCATCCCCAACCTGGGCGAGGCAGGGACAGAGCCTCAAATGCAGGCATCCTCAGAGTCCTGCCCTGCCCTTCCTTCTCCCAGGGAGGACTTGAAGTTCTGACCCTCGGTCTCTCTCTCCCTAGACCTATTCAGAGTGTGAAGATGGCACCTCCAGCCCAGATATCTCCTGGCCTCATGCGAAGGGCACAAAAGGTATATTTGTCTTGTTCATGATTTAAAACTTTACTGGGCCCTCTGCCTCCTTAGACCCAGTAAGAAGATTTGGAATCAGTATTTATGCTCTGAATGTTGATCATGTATTTCCTGAATGGGCTCAAACCTACTCATTTATGTCTTGTGCTCTGAATGTTGATCATGTATTTCCTGAATGGGCTCAAACCTACTCATTTATGTCTTGTTACTTAAGAAACATTCAAAGTGCCCACGAGATCTGCCTAAGAGACTTGCCTCATAAGAAGAGGCCCACTGTAACTCTGCCTTTCCTGAGGCAGGAAAATGGAGTGAGGCCAGCACTGTCTCAGGCTCGGTGCATGAGCGTCTTCTTTCTCTTGATTTTCATCATGAGGAAAAGGGTTAGCTTTTGTGTACCAGGAAGAGGAGTGTTTCAGAAAAGGTGGATCAGTTGAATTGCATTTATTCAAACGGCTGACCAGTATAAGAGGGATCTCAATACTGTACTTAGGGATCCTCCATTGTACCTCTCTCCAAGGAGCCTTTTGGAAAGATATGGGGCCACCTGGTTATTGTGAAGAATTAGGCTTGTGGAATTATGGCACTGAGGAGGCTCCATGGGCAGTGATTGTCAGTTCCTGCGAGCTGAATGGGAGGCTGGACTGAGGACAAAAAGTTATGAATGCTAGCAACCATGAATTTTAGCTCACAGAATTGCAGAGAAACAGAATGGGTCTAGTTCTCTCCTGAGGTCTTTGGGATCCAGCTTATTAGTGATCTTCCTGGGGGAATGCCAGCACAGGCCCTGCTGAGTTGCCTGTCACCCCTTTTGAGGTGGTTCCTTCTGGTCAAGGAGTGGGATCAGGGGCCTGTTTTGGAATGCTGACAGAGAGGCAGAGGCCTCCCTAGACCTCCTTTATTTAGAGCCCCCCCTTACAGATCTGGGGTCTCTACTGAAAAGAACTGAACAGTGGTAGAGATAGAATTAAGTCCCTGAGTGGTGCAGACGGTTAATGTGCTTAGCTGCTGAGAGGTTGGTGGTTCAAGTCCATCCAGAGGCACCTCAGAAGAAAGGCCTGGTGATGTATTTCTGAAAAATCAGCCATTGAAAACCCTATGGAGCACAGTTCTACTCTGACACACATGGGGTCACCAAGATTCAGAGTTGACTCAGTGACGACTGGTAGAGATATATTTAAAAGAAAGGTAGACAGAATAAAAAGAGAACAATGTTTTCAGAGCAGTAAAAGAGTCTCTTGGCCTAAGCTAAATGCTACTTTCTGTGGAAACAAAAACTCTGCAAACTTTCTTTTTAATTGGCTGGCTTAGGTGGAGAGTTCCTAGGGGGCTGGATTTGAGCCCTGGGGGTAGAGAACCATCTAGCTTGGGGTCGGCCACCTACTTACTCTGAGTGCAGAGCCAACCCAATGCCAGAAAGTTCCGCTGACGTCTCAAACCTTTGCACATGCTGCGTCCTCCACCTGAAATGCCCTTTGTCCCCAACTCCCCTGCCTCCCCGTCCTCCACCTGGCTCATATCTGCTGATGGCTTAGGACTCGGCCGATGTGCAACCCTCACAGGAGCCTTGCTCTGAGCCCTCCGAGCATCAACAAGTAATATAGTGTCATGACTGGTGTGGCCTCTGCTAGACTGAGTATCGTGAGGGCATAACTCCAGCTCCAGTGGTTCTCTGTGGCTTCAGAGGCTGTCTGCCATAAGCAGCAGGGGCCCGATTTCTAAAGCTGGCCTCCAGATCAAACAGTAATACAGCTGTCGTTGAGTTGACTCCAACTTATGGCAACCCCATGTGTGTCAGGGACGAACTGTGCTCCAAAGGGTTTGCAGTGGCTGATTTTTCAGAAGTAGATTGCCAGGCCTTTCTTCCGAGGTGCCCCTGGGTGGACTCGAACCTCCAACCTTTCTGTTAGCAGCTGAGCACACTAACCATTTGCACCACCCAGGGACTCCAGATCAAACGTTAGAGAGCATGTAATGTCTTTAGTTATATAAAGCTAAAGAACCTTTCTAACTTAGAAACTCTGATGCGTGGTGTAACAGGTCATGAGGTGGAAACCAAAGTAATGTGTCTTTTGAGTGCAGAGGTAGGGTGGACACCCATTGTGGTTTAAGTTTTAATTGTCCCTCATTTGTGCTCTCCATTTCATTTTGTTTTCTCACTTCTGGTCCACATGGCCATGACCACAAGCTACCCCACTGCCTCCTACACACTGTGGATGGAGAAATGTTTCAGGAACCATCCCAGAAATTTCTGGGGCCATTACCTTGCATACCCGAGGCACTAACCATACTGGCTCTGTACTGGGGTTTCTGTGTGCCCTGCCTTAATTTATTAGTGGGCCACTAGATGGAGTGCAAGCGTCAGTGGAGGAGCCTGTATGGAATTGGCAGGCATGGGGCGGTTTGGACAGGAGAACTACAGCTCACAGGAGGAAGCCTTTAGGACCAAGCAGCCCAAGATGATAGTGTGTTCTCATTCCTTTGGCCAGGTTCTGAAGACAGCCCACCCAAGCATTCAGGCAACAACGAAAGCCATTCTTCCAGAAGAAGGAACCGACATTCCAAATCTAAAGTCACCAACGGAGTTGGAAAGAAATGAAAGACCCTGGTTAATGAAACATGTTCCAGAGAGTGCCTAGAACTGAGAGGGAAATGGAACTCGTTTGGACCTCCCTATTAGGAGGTCAAAACGCACAGAGCAAACAGGAAGAGGAGAGGAGACTTTTTGGGGTCATTATGTGAGAGTGTAAGTCATGTTTCCCACTGACCTGGCCACACCGCCTGGGGTCCTGTGCCAACTTGGGGTCTCTTCCAACTTTAGCACTTGGCATGTGGTCACCGGTAGCAGTACATTGTGTTTGAAGGAAAAGGTAGCTGTTTACTCACGGTTGCCAAGGGCAGCTTTGCACTTGGGTGTATTGTGAATGCATTTTAAGTGTCTTCATTCAGACAACGCATCAACTCTACCGTTGATGGACTCACCACCAGTTTTTATTTTTATGAATCTGCCTTGCCATTTGAGTGATTTAAGTTCAGGCCACGTTTCTTCTTCTTCTTCTTTTTTTTTTTTTTTTGTTTGGTTGCTATTTGTTTATAAGTTAGGATGCTTACAAGTCTTCTGAAGCCACTGCTGGAATTGATATTCAGGGAAGGCTATCTTCCCTTCTAGATTAAAAAAGGCGAGGGAGAGGTTCGTGTTACTGTTTAGCATCCCAGCTCAGCCCCCTTTTAAAACCTTAAACTACGTGGAGGGTGTAAATCAGTCTGAGGAAAGGTTAGTTACCTGCATAGGATCCTGGGCTTCAGATCTGAACCATCTTTGTTCCATTCCGAATGTCATGTGTCCAAGACTGACCCACAGTGCACAAAGTGAGCCTGTCGGAGGCAGTGAACACCGCGGCTGCTCCCACAGCCAGGTGCCTTGTACATTTGATTTGTTTTCCTTCCACGGTGTGTTGCTGACATTGTCTTTTAGTCACATGTGAGGTGCTGGTGAGTATTACCTTCCATCTGTGCCATGCTCTAGATTTACCCTATAGTTCACCACCTCCGATGGATCCCTGTTTTAAATAAAACAATTCACGTTAAAGCCCGTCAAAGGTCTATGTCCAAAAAGTGCTCATTTCTTTGTATTTTACTAGTATTTTCCGTTGCTTGTAAGCAATTGTTGTATTTTTCAGGTGGCTTTAGGATGATATGAATGTGTGTGTTTATATATGTTGTTGTGTGCTGTTGAGTTGATTCGGACTCATAGCGAACCTGTAGGACAGAGTAGAACTGCCCCATAGGGTTTCCAAGGCTATAACCTTTACAGAAGCAGACTGCCACATCTTTCTCCCTCGGAGTGGCTGGTGAGTTTGAACCACTGACGTTTCAGTTAGCAGCTGAGTGCTTTAACCATTGCACCAGAAAAAAAGAGAAAATATTATGTATTTTAGAGAGCTTATAGACAAGTATGTCCTATGTCTTAACCTTTCCAAGTAACCAACAGAAGTAAACAACAAGGTCATTGTTTTTCACTGTGGTAATAGTTACATCAGCCACGTTGGATTTTTCCTTAACAAGTGGCCAGTACCCAGCTGATTGACTTTTAGGTATAAACTTGCTGAAAGCAATCCATTTGTTCCCTCATTTTGCAGAGCACAGAGGTTTCAATGTCTTTTCCCCCTTTAAGGAAATCTTTAGCCCTAGAAGTGTCACGTTTTCCTTTTTCTGCAAAGGAATGCAGGGGTGAGGGGGTTAAATGAACCATGCACATCCGGGGTCACATACCATGCTCTGGGTCTCTGGGTGACCACTTGGTTCAGGGCCACGCACAGACCTGTTCCAGCAGACAGACATGGTACCCGCAGTCCCTTGGATCACATGATGAGTAAGGGGATTGGCTGGGAGAGGCCACAGCTCTGAACTTTCATGTGTTCTCAAAACAGTGTCATTCCCATGAAAGTCTTGAAGGTAGGCAAAGAAGTACATGTTTCACAAACCCACTTGCACTTTAATAACCTATCAAAGAACTCTTTTTTAAACATAGCAGTTGCGTCGACTCAACTGACTCATGGTGACCCCATGTGTGTCAGTCAGAGTAGAACTGTGCTCCAGAGTGTTTCCAATGGCTGATTTTCCAGAAATAGATTGCTAGGCCTTTCTTCCAAGGCGCCTCTGGGTGGACTGGAACCTCCCCACTCGGTTAGCAGTTGAGCACATTAACTATTTGCACCACCCAGGGACTCCTTTATAAACATACCTACAATTTCAACATAAGTTTATTTAAAAGCTGCTGTGTGGAGAAATCGGTAGATAAGTTGGGAGTGGGTTGATTGGTTTGTTTTGCATTTTGCTTTTCTGAGCACCGATACGCTGTCTCCCCTTCTTGCCTGTGGCATTTCACTGAGTGTTTCCAAGTTCCTTTTCTGAGAGAGTTGAGCCTGGCACTTTACTACTCCTGTGATTAATAGCCCAGTCTGACTGGTGAGGCATGCTTCCTTTCTCCAAGGCCACCATCAAGGGAGGCACCTGTTTAGCACAAGGTAATTTGATTATATTGTGGAATGTGCAAAGAGCAATGTGCTCATGAGACAATTTTTTTTCTCCATGGCTTTGTATGAACAGCCAGGAAAGTTCTCAGATACTTTCCATGCTCTTTCTGTGATATAAACTTTCTTTTTTTCCTTTTGGTAAGAACTCTTGACTCCAATAGTTAACAAAACCAGTGCTTCCCATGACTGACCAAGACCACAGCCGCCACTGCCACCTAGAAACCAAACTGCTGGGTTTAGCCTACTCTTTCCCCCCCTTTCTATGGGAATGGACCTCACATTAATGGAAATAGAATAAGTGCTTCAGAGTCATCATGTATCTCAGAAATGATTAGAGTGCAAATTATCTCATGTTTGCCATTGGCAAACTGCCCTCTTAAAAGCTATCACTGTTGGGGACATGATGCACACAGTGTTTTATGTATTTTCCTCCTGGAGCAGCACTGCATTGAGTGTTACTTTTTCCTCGTTGTCATTCTTGGTCTTCACGTGGCCTCTCCCTGCTTTCCTTGTGTCTGTTTTCACCATCTGTAAACGTCTTCGCCAAACTATTCCCGCAGCAATGCCAGGACGTTTCATTGACCCATTAAACATTTTGATGATAAAAGACATCCTGTAAATGCCAGTCTTATTTTCACTAGGACTGCTTCTGTAGTGAGCTCGTGAGTTAAGTACTCACTCAGGGAACATAAAATAAAATTCTTTAGCAAATACATCAGATTCAGCCTTACTGCTCTTCTCTCGGAAGCTGAAGTATAGCATCCATTAGTGATAAAACTCTTTGTGTCAAGGCTCCCCCTTTGGAATTAGACTCCTGGTTTGTTTTGTTTATATATAATAGTGTGCTGGTTCAGGCCCTCACAGGGTCCCTGAGAGTTGGGGTAAGGCTGGTCACAGAAGGGGAGGCTAAACACAAAGTGGAGAAGAACAAAATGTAACCATTGGAAACCAGACTAAGCGAGCACTTTCAACACAGGAACACAGGGGGACTTGACTCCTGTGCTCCCTGGGTTGTCCCCCTGACGGCTGTAGAATCCTGGGCCCATCACAGCCTTGACCAGGCTTTGTTTCTCTCGTTCTTACTGTTATGACAGCTAGGAATCCCACAGATAGCCTATTGCAGTCCTCAACGTATTTCCCACTTACGTGCTTCAAATCAAGATATAAGAAGAGCTAAGGCTTCTCTTTATCAGTGTTTCATTACATAACGCACCTCTTTCCTTCATATGTGCCTGTGCATTGCAGGGTTATATTTGAGACTCAGTTCTTTGCAGGGGTTAGTGTTAGCAATGACTAAGACCGGAGGGCTGCACCGTCTTGTTGCCAACCCATAATAATCAGATTTTTGCAACATTTCCCCTTAATCACGTTTTACTCCAAACCTCATGCTAGGGCTAGCACAGGTGAAGGTTGCAACATTTTTTAAATTGAACTTTGGTATTATCTTTGATGCAATAAATAAATATGGCCTTTTTTTCTTTTTTTTTTTACTTTGCTATGTTCTGTGAATTTAAAAGAATTACTTATTAATGTCTACCAAAGAAGGGGAAAAATAGTTGGATGTGAATTCTTGTTGGTTTGCAGGAATGCTGAATTATAAAAATCTTTCTTGTTTCAGATGTCTATGAAAAAACTATATTTAATCCGTTTCAGAAATTTATGTTTGTCCTGACATTTCTTTTCTTGCAACTTGTGGATTTTGAAGCTGCCTACCCTGTGAGAAGGTGTTTGTTGTCACACTCTAACACTGTTCTGACACTGATGGCCCAACAGTTAAGCACTCCGCTGCTAACCGAAAGGTTGGCGGTTCGAACCCACCCAGCAGCTCCATGGGAGAAAGACCTGGCAATTGCTCTCATAAAGCTTACAGCCACAAAAACCCTATGGGGCAGTTCTACTCTGTCACACGGGGTCACTGTGAGTCAAAATTGACTCGACAGCACCCAACAACAACACTGTTCAAGGGTTTACAACATGTCCACGTACCTCCTAGGCCTTATGGCTAAGCTTAGTTTACTGTTGTTAGCTGCCGCCAAGTCAGCTCTGAGTCCTGGTGACTTTATGTATAACAGAGTGAAACGTTGCCTGCTCCTTAGTTATACGTGGTGATAACCTGATTGAAAACTGTTCTCTTTATATACGGTGTACCTGGCTGGTTGGAGAGGTGGGTAACAGGCAAGTGTCCTGCCGCTCCTGAGCCCCCAGCATTATTGTCCTCTTCCTCATAAGCCCACTGAGGACAGGAACATCATTCAGGAAATGGACTTTGCTCGAGAGTTTTGCTTTCACATCAGATGCCACCAACCACCCAGGCTCCTTTGGGCTCATGCTGCTTAGTTACCACTTCCTTGTTAACTGGAATGCACTGAAGCAGGGTGCTGCTGAAGGCCTGAGAATTCGTGGGCACTGAGAATGCCATAGTGGCAGGCAGGTTTTCTCTGAGCCACCTGGCCCCCTGCTCTTCTGAGCAGTCGTTCCTGGGCTTTGGATACAGGGGGTCCCTGTGTGGGGCCAGTTCCACCTTCCTGGATGCTGATGAAGGGGAACATGTGGCTTTCCAAATCACAGGAAATGAGGTCTGTTGGCCTTTATAAGAAAAAGGGAAAAAAAATTGAGACTGAAGAACCAAAATACTGCATTTTCATGTCTAAAGCATATACACAATAGCCTTAATTACAGTGTGGAATTGCAGGCAGGGTTTATATAATGATCCCTACTGGAAAATCTGGACTGTAAACCTTACTGTTCCCACTTGCCTGACAAAGGGCTGCTCTGGCTCATTCTCGTCCGTCTGACTGCATACATCATGGACTGATTAGGTATTTTATGGGTGCAGTCCGGGAAAGGCTTAAGAATGATCTCCAGCTTTCAAAATGTTTAGAATTCTCCATCTTCTCTTGTTAGGTGCCGTTGAGTCGATTCTGACTCACAGTGACCCCATGCAACAGAGTAGAACTGCTCCGTACAGTTTTCTGGGCTGTAATCTTTACGTGAACAGATCACCAGGTCTTTCTCCCACGTAGCCACTGGCTGGGTTTGAACCGCCAGCGTTTTGGTTAGCAGCTGAGCACTTAACTGTTGTACCACCAGTGCTCTATCTTCTTTTACGAGTGGATAGAATCCAGAGCAGAGGGGATAAAAGTTCACCATCACAACTGCTCACAAGTCCCAGACAAAAGCATTCATGTACTGGGGTCCTTTGAAAGACCCCTCTCAGAACCCTTCCCCTTCTTGTCCCTGATGGCTCCTCCCTGACTCTGCTTAGCTGGCTTTGCCAGTGAGCCAAGCACCAAGAGCGGCATTTGCAGTTCCAGGGGAAGGAATGTCACTGAGGCCCTCCCCACTGTGTACCCGGCGACATACTATGTACGTTCCTTTTGAATCCTGAGTTTGGAAGTGTTCTCATTTTACGAGAACATGAAGCACAGGGAGGTTGAGTACTTGACCCAACATCATACAGCCAGTAGGTGGCCACCATGTCAGCCCAGAGCCTAATGTTCCTTCTCCCAGTCCAGGCTTCTTGATTCAGTACTTGTACATATACTTTATTCCCCATCACCGGACCAGAGTCACCATGCATCCCCATAAACCTGGCCCCCAGCCAGCCTCCAGTTAACTAGCTGCCGTCAAGTCAGTCCCGACTCATGGCAGCCCCATGTATATCAGTAGAGCTGTGCTCCATACAGTTTTCAATGGATGATTTTCCAAAAGGAAACCACCAGGACTTTCTTCCAGGGTGCCTCTGGGTGGACTCAAACTTCCAACCTTTTGGTACTGACGCCGCCC